CATTAGTAGGGGAGCAGGTTTAGCTTCAAAACGACCAATGTAAACGGGAATGAAGCTGTATCAAGGAAACGGAGGAGAGAAGCAACCATTACGAAAGGCGGGAAAACGTTTGTGTTTTCATGGGGGGAGAACGTTGACACCAATAGAGTTTGGAGTTAGGAAAGGAGAAAAATTAGGGAGCGGTGAACCTGAATGACCCACTTGGGCGTTGGAATCAAGTGCCATGAGGTCTATTGTGTGTGGACCAAAGAGGTTTTCATCTGTCTTCCATGGCTTGTCTACGAGCTTGCAATCTTTATCTGATAGGACACGCAAAAGGCTGTCTGCTTCATTAAGCAAGGAAGCCATGTAACACAAGCTGAAGGAAATGATCTGTGCTAGGAGAACTTCCGACGGTGCACCCCGTTTTTCCCAAGCCTAAATGAATGTAAGGAAATCCTTGTGTGCATCCACACGACAATTTGTGAGGGTGGACTTTCCTGCTTTGAGAGTATTAACAAGCGCCAGAGCTTCCTTTACTGCTATAGGCTGTACTCTCACTTCTTTGGGCCAAATATCTCAACTCTCTAAGCACAACCCATGAGGATCGGCAATCATTCAACCCCAAGCGAATGTAGATGCATCAGTGGTTGCTGTAGCGGTTAAATGATGTTTGTCCATCCAAGGGAGATGATCGGACCAGGAGTCTAGAAATTGCCAATAAGCTATTTCCAAGCTAAGGGTCACCGATGACCTTAATAGGGCGAGAAGAGTGAGCTGCTCGGGAAATGGCGCGATATATTTCTTTGGCGTATGACTGTGCGGCAGGAACAGCAAGGGAGAAAGAAGTTATCTTGCCTGCAAAACACTGGAGCGTCTTGATGGACACTGTGCAGTTTTGGAGAATAAACTGACGAAGGGTGGCAAACTTGGCGTTCTTGTCCTCTGGGATAATAAAGGCTTGAAGGACTGAGTCGAATAAGAGACCCAAAAATCTTATTCTGGTCTGGGGAACAGCGACAGATTTTGAGAGACCGATGAAGTCGCCAAGGGACACAAGGACAGCAAACAATGAAGGCAGTGGCCTCGGCCAGAGCAAAATTGGGCCATCCAAACGACTTCTGAATATCTCTACGCAAACCCAGCTGGCCAACATGCTGATCGTCAATGTATTGACTACAGGGAACACCCAGGAGGCGAATGTAATTAGTAGCTGCTAAGCCAATGGTGTGATAGATGTTAGCACAGGCCTTCCAACCAAATGGTAGGGTTTTATAACAGAAGTACCACCCTTTCCATTGCAATCTCACAAAGGTAAAACTCTGGGGATAAAGAATGTGGTCATAACCACTCTTGTCGTCGAAAGTAGTTTGGTAGTGAGACTTGAAAACGTAGCGAGGCAAGCTAGTAATGTAGTCTAACGAGAAAGGGAGGTCCCTAATCCAGAGGTTTAAAAAAAGTTCGTCATGGCACATTCTAGGCCCAGACGGTTCCACAGTTATAGGCATAACTAGATAGGGTGGTTGGACATCATTAACTTTTCCCCAAACAAGAAGAGAGCCATTCCTAACACGGTCGATAATTGTGGCACTGATGAATGCCTCAAAACCTTGGCAGCTTTTACTATTGGGAAAAAACGCTGTCTGAGGAATCACAGAATCATAGTATTTTCCCTGAAAGTCACCCTTGAAAGGAACAAAAAATTCAGGGATCTTGACTCCGTGGACGACATAAGAGAAGATTACATCCCTTTTAGGGTTCTGCAATAAGACGAGCTGTCAATTGGGTCAATGACAACTTAACTCACCTGCGACAAAGAAACTGGGGTCTTGGAAGATAACATCTTGAGGGGTGGCATGAACAACTCCCCTTGATACCATAGAGGGTTAAGGAAGCGGGCCTGCAATGCGTGGCTTTTACCATTTCCAGTTGCACCACTAGGTAGTATTGAGCAGTATTTGATCTGGGAGGAACTCAAAATGAGCTTTCTTACGGGGCGAGTACTACAAATAGAAACGAGGGAAAAACCTAACTGACCGAATGACAGGAAAGGGGAAAAGCCAACCGTGGAGCAGCCCCGAAATTCCCCGTCCAGGGACAGAGCAATGGGTATTAGATAACCCCTTCGAAGGTTGACTGTTGACTTTTGGAGAAACCAGACGAGGAAGCAATACAGGAGAATGTAGCGTGTAGTTTAATAAGACAAACCGAAAATAAATACGAATTATTTGTGCACACCTTGGGCTAATGAAAATGGCCAATACGTCTGCAGTGAAAGCAACGCCATAGTTTATTGCTAGAGCCCGCGAGTAATAACCGTAAAGAACAGATTTAAAGTCCTCAAAAGTGACTTATCTGGGTCGTCTAGTAATAAGCAGGTTCCAGATTCTAGTGGTTCTAATGAAAAAAGATTTCTGATCTAAGTGAATCATTATGCGTAGCCTTGTAAAAGTATACTAGATCTAATAACTCGTGCCAGTAGCACACAGGAAGTAGGTTTACCGACATTAGTCTTCCTTTGTAAGAGATATTTGTTAAAAAAGGGAAGCAAAGAATGAATTTCGTGGCACGTCTTTGGATACTTTCGAGTTTAGAAATTAGTTCAATGCCTTGGAGCGCCCAGACCTGGGTTGCGTAGCCAAGATGAGCACGAACTAGCCTGAAGTATAATGTGCGCCTTACCGAAGTACTGTGAATAAACCTAGAGTTCCTCCTAACGAAACCTAACAACTTGTTTGCGAGCACAGCTTGGTGAGAGACTTGGGCGTGCCAAGTCAAGTCACAGTCCAAGGAGACGCCAAGGTCACGAACTACCTCACAGGACTTGATGGTACTGCCGTTAACCTCGTAGCTCGTACAGATGGGCTTGCGCTTCCTCGTAATGGCCTGAAGCTTGCATTTCTTATTATTAAAGGCTAGGCCAGAGGCAGCGGACCTTGAAGACAGATTATCCAGATCTGGTTGGAGAGCAGTGCCATCATCTTCAGACATCACTACCTTTTATACTTTAGTGCCATCTGCAAACATTGCTACTTTGCTATTGAGGATAGAATCTGGAAGGTTGTTCACATATATCAAGAAGGGAGCAGGTCCGAGTATTGAACCCTGTGGGACTCCAAAGGTGACAGGTAGGTCTCTTGATGTTGTGCCTAGTATGGTGACACACTGGCGCCTGCCACAGAGATACATGTGAAACCACGTGAGCAGGTTCCCTCTGAAGCTGGCATCCCGCAGTTTTTTCATAAGGAGGTCATGTCTAACCTTATCAAAGGCTTTGGACATGTCTAAATACACACAATCTACTTGACCAGCTCTATCAGGAATAGCAACGATGTAATCTAGGGTCTCCAGTAGATTTGTGACACATGAACGTCCACTCCAAAACCAGTGCTGACAGTCCGCAATCACATCTTCTCATAGGTCATTGATGCGGTTCAAGACAGCAGTTCAAGACGCAACGTTCGAGGACTTAAGAAATAAAAATAAGAGACTGCCGACCTTTAAGGATCTTTCTGTGCTGAGTCGCAACGTCTCTTTCCTTTTTGTCGTCAAGTAATTGCAAAACCACGTGAGCAAGCGTGGCTGTATTTGCCATGGGATGGTACTGTTCTTCCTGTCCAGATGATTGGCCTCTTGTGCGTGGCCAGCTAACTGCTCTAAGGTCACGAGGATGGCTCGCGAGTTGTTTTGCAGACTCCAAAGCCTGTTCAACCTTGGACGTGTTGAAAGTAGACTGTAAAGAGTCAATCTTTTGCGAAGATAGTCAATGCCCTACGAACGAGAACAGTTAAACATCAATATTCGACATGGTGTCAACGCACTGATAAACAAATAAAAGCTCCTCACACAGACAGAGCCTTGTAATATACACTGCACACAGACTGGCAAACGTCACACAAACTCACACGTATGCCACGTGTACGTACAACCGAAAAAACTAAAGATCAGTTACGTTATTTGATGCACAGAAAAAATCCCCACATAGATTGACATTTGTTATAGTACAAATTCATACAGGCACCACAGAGAGGTGAAAAATAACATGGGATGATTAGTCACACGGACGCAAACCAAAACCCCACACAGAGTACGGAAAGTAATCGGTCACACAGACGCCAAGAAAATGCACTGGGAAAAGGTGCCTGTCACGCGGACACAAACTTGAAATATAACCCCCACGCAGACTGACATTTGTCACACAGACAGTAATTAAAGTGAAAACTGAAAACGACTGCAAAGCAAGGTAATTCGTCACACAGACGCAGACAACATAGAGTATAAAGGTTAATGCCAATAATAGAGGCGCGGGGATAGAAAGTAAAGGATCACTCACCGTTTCTGGGAACGGAGTCATCTTTCTCGCGACACTCAAAAATAAATAAATAGACGCGAAGGCTCCTCAAGACTCGCCGAGGACGTCTCAACTTCACTTTATGACCCTGTGAGGACTACTCTATAACACACGATGACTTGCCGAGGATGACTCGATAAGGCACCATTACTTGGCGAGAATTACTCCATGAGACGTGTTGACTCGAAGAGGACGACTAGGCGAGGATCACTCGATGAGGCAAGATGATTCGATGACACTACTGAGTTGTAACCAGAATCCCAAAAGTAGTCAGGGTTGTTTGTGAGGGACATCTGTTTTGCGAATTGTGTTGACGAGCTTATTATTATTTTTATTTCAATCATTTGAAATGTTCAGTCTATTATTAATGACATGTATGGTCAATCCATTGTTCTTATTATCACAGACACATTTCATTTCATTTAGTATAGTATATTGTCAGCCTTCTTGCCTGCCAATTTTGTAACCTGAATGATAATGGTGTTGATTGTTTTCTCAATTTTATTTCAAGATCACGGGTTGAATGCAACTAACTGCACACATAAACATTCATGCTCTTTCTCTCCTTGCGTGCAAACTTATTTTTCTTCCTTCTAATGTTTACAGAAGACTATTTATAAAGAGAGATAGAGAGTACTAACGGTTATGGGAGTCCCGAAAAACTTGATAAAGAGTTAGAGTCACTATTTAAAAGAGCTGTGTGGCTAAATTTACCGCCAAATTGAGTAAAACATAAAAAATTCACTGCTCTAAACATGAAAAAGCGGGTATAAAAAAAAAGCAACAACATAAGGAGTAGAGAAACGGATGGAGAAAGTTGAAAAAGATTTAGACAGAAAGCAGGAAGGTTTTTATCTATTGCTTCTGCACCAGAGAATATCTGTGAGATAAGGGTCTGACCTTGCACGCGGATTAGGATTACACTTTTTTTCCTACAACAATACACTTTATACAGGTGTTTTATCTAGCTGAAGAATATGTTAAGACTAAACCCCTGTCTGA